GCGGGAAGTGAATGACAATCATTTTGACTTAAGGTGCTTTGTAACAGGGTTACACGTACCCAGAGTGTAACGGAATTTCACGTAACCTTTTATGAAAGGGCGGGTCACACAAGATGGTATGACTGTGTGCGTGTGGATTACTCAAGTGGTGTAATCAGACAATGGCGTGGCTACACCGTAACAAGAAGCTACTACGTGGCAGAATTGCCAGTAGTGATGCATATCAATTTGATTTTACTATATTGATTAGGTGCTACTATATTAATTAGACTTACTTAACTGAATAAACCTATTAGCTCTGCCGCAACTAAAACAATAAAATTTAGTCTCAAATTTAAACGGAAGCGTCCCTTTACCTCGGCTAAGCTTGAGCACTCGTACTGTTTCTTGGTTATAACGTAGAGCCGGTGACCTTGGCTTAACTTCCTTTAAGCAAAGAGCTGCGGCAGCCCCGAAGTATGTCTGTGCATACGCCCTGTGGGGCCTGATCAACTGCGACACAAGACTATCAAACGTTGCTGGTCATTTGAAAGCCTTTGGGGCATCACCAGCCACTCCCAGAGAATGTCGTTCGGAGTGCTCGCCGCTGTCAGCGGAATATCACTCACTCTCATGATCAATTGGTAATATCCATCTACTAAGTCGGTGCACTGTACTTCGTATCTCCCACCATATTGTTCTGACGAACATCCTTTCTAGAAATCGGCGTCTGTGCCGGAATGGTGGCAGCATTGAGCTTTTTGTAAGCATGAACGATACGCCACTCGCCGTTCGGCTTCCAAACACAAAACGTGGGTGTCGATTGGGATGATTTGCTCTCACGCACCATTCCTGCGTCGTACTTTGCACGGAAAAATGCATCAATGACGTCGCACTGCTCCTTGGGCAGGGCTATTGGCGTGTTTCGCAGTATTTGGTAACGGGAACAAGATCGATCTCATGACGCACACCTCGGTCCGTAGGTAGGACTGAAGGCGGGTCTTTGGAGACGACGTCTTAAATTTCTTCACCAT